TGTTCCTCCTTTCTACTCTTTTTCTCACCGCACCACCCTTTATTGGGGTTTTATATCCCCATCTATATTTGTGCAGGGTCCTGGCTCTCGTTTCTAGCTCCTCATCTCAATAGTTTTTTCTTAGGCCTAAATTCTTACAGTGTGCATTCTTTATCTGGTTCTTAGGTGGCCAGCAACTAAACCTACAGTTGTAGTAACTTGACAGAAGATACCTGTATGATTTCTCTCTGAAATACAGGGCCTAGAGCAAAAAATTAGCAATAGGGATCCCTGGTGCCCTTTGTGAATTTTGCACCTTGTATGGAGATGAAATCAGAAATTCTGTTGCCCTAATGCAGACCATTAAAAAAACCCTGGAGAAAGGTACCATGATAAAATTGATTAAGTAGCACACAAAGGAGAGCTCTGCTTTCCCATTTTGAAGTTCAGTTGTCATGGTTTCTTCACGTCTCATTTCCAAAGCTTCTTCCTTTGACTCTCTTCACAAGGCAACTTGTTAAGTAGCAGCTCAGTCATGTTGGTAAATCTTCTCACTTCTTCCTGGCTGCACTCCATGCTGCCTTTCTTCGGTTGCCTTGAAGAGCCCTTTCCTCTCCTGCTGCTCCAGCATAGCTTGCTTTCTTGCCATCCCTTACTTAACTAGCTGTACATTTAGATTTGGGTCTCTTTCCTCTTACAGGTTCTTGCTGTGCCCCAGGGGGAACAACAAACTCAGTTACACTTAACCGCTTTCTCTCTCTGCTCTGAAGCAGGAGATGGTTTGTTAGAGCATGTTTATTTACATGTACAGAGTCTGACTGACTGTGTCCTCACCACTGTAGTGGAAATGCTGCTGCTTTCAGGCAGTTTGTTGTTGTATTTAAACTGTATATTAATTAATCATCTTGTGCAGCTTAAGACAAGGGCTCTGTTGCCCTTAGTCTTTACTGTTATTATCTGGAGTGTTCTGTTTAGTAACAGGTTGTTTAACTGGTTGTCACTGGGCTTGGATTCAGCTTGTTGCCTTGAGTTGACCAGTTTGTGTAAATAGGATACCTCTGACAAAGGGACACCAGCTTAAATTGGTGAGAACTGGTGTTCCAGATGTGTTGGAAGGGCAGGATCCTGCCAAGAGCATGCAGGGACCCTGCCCCATCCCATAGCTGTGGCAGAACTTTGACCCACCTGGGGGAACAGAATAGGGGCCTGTATGACATACACAGAGCCCCCTTTCTAAGCCTGCTTGCATACACTGACACCATCCTGAAACAAGAGATAGGAAGCAGTTTGTGGGAAGGAGAAAATAATCTAAAACTTGTATCTCTTGCACAGCTGGGGGGGTTCTAAACTGTAACCCCTCCACAGTGAAGGGTGAGGGGCTCATTCTGTGAGCAAATAACCCTGGCAGTGGAATAGTCTCTCTTCCATCATATAAGCAAAGAAATGGACTGTGTTTGCCTTGCAGGTAATGAACTTATCTTCTCATTACAGAAAGTCACTGGAGAGAGAGAGAAACTTACTAATGACCAAAGCTGACAACTATGGTAAGAGCTTCATTAAAAATGGTCCCTCTGGGCTGGATGGGATCAGTGCTGCAGCTTAGCTTCATCTTCCAGCTCCTGCCACCTCTGACTTCTGCCTTTGAATTCAGGTTCAACCAAAGAGAGACTGAGGGAAATTTAGTCAGCATATTATGAGTCTGGATCCTCCTGTTTGAGCTGTGCTATCAGAGAGGAAAAAATACCCCAGCATCAACTAACGAGGGGGGGAAAGATGTCCCTTTCACTTACCCCAAGTTAGGAGTCTTTAGACTGACGTGAGTGGCTTTTAACATCCTCTCTCTTTTCCCCTGCTTTTTAATCGAGGCTGCTAAGCAAGCTGGCAAGTGCTCTCTGGAGTGTAGCAAAGTCTGCCCTCCCTGGGGAAAGTTCTCACTGCATCAGTTTCTGGGGCCATTCAGCACACAAGCGTAGGGATTCACACCGAGGTGCTGCCTCCAATTCCAGGGAGTCAGGGTCTGTCCTTGCTGCAAGTGCTGCTTTAGAGTTGAAATGAGAGTCCCTCAGAGCTACGGCAGGTTTGACAGCATTTCCATTCCACTAGGGATGCTGCTTTGAGTGTCTTCAGGCTGCTGACTGCTTGACAATACTCTGCAGCAGTGCAAGCACCATAGCTCACACAGAGGAAGGAAGCACAAGTATCCTTTTAGGTTTGGAAAGTTGAAAACTGGGGCATGGTCATCAAATTTGTAATTTTAACTCCTGTTAAATGACTGTTTCCAGAAGATCCATCCCTGGCAGTGTTCAAGGCCAAGCTGGACAGAGCCTTGGGTGGCATGGTTTAGTGTGTGGTGCCCCTGCCCATGGCAGGGGTGATGGAACTTGATGATCTTACGGTCCTTTCCAACCATAACTATTCTATGATTCTATGACTAAGTTATTTTAAACAGATTCAAAGCTGTTCCCTAAGGACCTACCACTAGAAAGAGCATAAGACCCTGCACATCCCTGCCACCCTTTTACCAGCAGTCAGCCATCACCACTGGCACATGAACAGAGCAATGTGGCAGGCTGCTCAGGCAGCAACAGCCTCACCTAATGGTGATGGCTACTCCTCTTGGAACAGAACAGACACTGCATGTGCACACTGTTTAGATCACTGCTGTGGCCTCTGATTAAATCTCTGCTTATTCCAGCTGACACACATTAGGCCACAAACAGCAATTGCTGACAACAGCATTGCTCCTTCTGTTCAAGCTGCCTGGGGTTATATGACTGCTTACCCTTCCCACCCCCTCTGTGACCTTACAGATTCAAGCAGTTTGCGCTGTGGTTGCATGAGAAGGCTTGTCCTGTGAGAAGAACAGGGACAGAAAGGACGGCTAAAAGCCTCTTTTGAGGCTGGCAGCAGTGTGGCAACCTGCAGCACCAGGGTATTCCCACTGGAGTCTGCTAGCGGAAAGTATAGAGACAGTAACCCATGTAGCTCGTGCAGCAGCAAAAGCAGTCTGGAGTCTGCATCCAGCCTTGCCTTGCACAATAGTTACATTTGTTTGGCCATGCAGTGTGTAATGCTATAGAGCTCACTTCCTGCCTGTACCACCAAGCAAAGTCTTGTGGAACAGAGCTAGCAAGAATCAGACTCTGATTTTTGGGAAAGCAAATGGAACACAAGGGGACATCAGTGGAACTCCTACTTTTGGTAGCCACTTCCTTCATCTTTGCAACTGTGTTTCTCCTTTTGTAAACCAGGGCCAGGGAAAGCTGCAGGCCCCAACAGAGTTAAGGGTCCAGGCTCATACCTGTTCAGCAGTTGCAGGACAAGAGGAAACCCAGATTCGGCAACATTCAGCAGTGGCTACAGTGTATTTACCAGACTGCTACATCTAAAAGATCGTAGAAATAGCTCTCTATTTGCCTTCCACATTCTTTCAAGAGATCAAGCAATTATTCTGATGACCCATTCTGTCCTAAGTAGGCTCCTAGAACAAGATCATTTGCAAACAGGAGCTGGTCTGGCACTGAAGTATTCCCAAGTACAGCTACTGAGGTTGACAGGGTAAGAGCAAATGAAAGGGTTCCTGCTAGTTCACTTCCTGTTCAGCACATCTTTTAATTGGCAGCTTTGCATACTGATCCCAAAAGAGTTGCCCATGGCCAAGGTAGCATTGTGCTGTTAAGACATTTTTGAAAGAAGATGCAGGTGCAAAACAGAACACTCACAGGCAAGGCTTTTATTTCTTTCCCAGAGAAAGAACTGAGTGCGCTTCATAAGGAGAACCGCAAGAATGCTGCCCTTGCTGTGGCTGTGGGACTGCTGATTGCTCTTATTTATGCCTGTTGGACAGTGTGATTGCACTCAAGAATTCTCCCTGCTGACCAAATGACTCTTATGCAAGGAACTCATCCTCCTCTCACCACTGTGCCTCTGCCAAGGGTAAGGATCAGCATTTCAGATTGCTGTTATTGCTCATCCTCTCCAAGCCTCATTGCAGGGAATCTTTCTCTGAGAATTGTGGGGTGCAGGAGACAAACGAGAAATCAAGCACACTTGTGGCTAAGAAACATGGTCAAGCAGAGCTGAAAGTGATGCTTTCTTACTCCAAATGCAGCACAGACCATCCAGCCTGATGCAGGAAGGCAATACATTCTCTATTTTGAAGCGGACCTCTGTGGCTTCAGACAAGTGCTCTCTGCCCAGCCCTGCTGGAATACATGCCACCTTTGTTCCTGCGACTCAGCCATAAGCTGAAGGGACACTAAACTCTCAAAGGGTAACTTTGGTATTGTGACCAAAAGATTCCAGGTGTTCCCAGAGGTGATCTAAATAAGTATGGTACCTCCTGCACACTGACTTGAAGGACCAGAGGAATCCTACCTTCACAAAACTAGATGGGAGGTAGGTATCTCTCTGTAAGCAGGCAACATCCAGCTTGAGATGTGGGTACTTGGGCTTTGAGATCTGCCTACCTCTCCAGTGCATCAACGCTTGGTAGCCATTCTGTGCCTTTGAGAATCAACACTTGAAATTGAACTATCAAGTCCCAAGGATGGAAGTACCTCTGCAAGGGCTTTAAATAAAATAATTTAACCTTGTAACTTCCTGGTTTCCTTTTTTTCCTGTTTTGTAACATCTCTCAGTCACTGCTTTCTTCTTATCCTGCATTCTCCCTGCTGACACACACTGCACCATAGTAAACCTAGAAGGGATTAGGCGTTTAACATACCTGGTCAGCAAGATTTCAGCAGTGTGTTATTGGTCTGTTGTGGCATGGAATCTACTCAAGTGTTTGCATTGAGTGGAAAAGCAGCCTCATATGCTGCATAGGAGTGCTGGGAACTGACACCTGTAGTCCACTCTCTGGTGAAGCAAGATACATTAGGTAGCCCTCAGTGTGCCTGACATGTCAGGAAAGCCATTAAAAGGCGACTGCCTTGAAAATTCAACAGTGCAAGGCATTTCTGTCTCCACACTAACACACTGCCAGACAGAATTCTATGGGAAGCAAAGTGGACAAGCACTGTTGTAAACTAAAAGGGCTGTATTGGTAACAGAGACAATGAAAGCAGGAGTCAACACAAAATGATACACAGCCTAATGACAATACATTGTGCAATTAATGTACATCAACATTCTCTTCAGCAAGACCTTCCTCACCTCCTCTTCCCAACATAATCCCTCGATATCTACCCTGCAGCAGGGAAGCAAGTAGCATAGTGGCTCATGCTTGCCTTCTTGAAGGGGGATTCAGAATCATGGTTCAGTGCTTCAAAAATAAAACTAAGAAGCAAATTTGAATGAGGGACTGGAGGCAACTCCGTATACAGGAAGTATTTGTTCATAAGAGCTGGCCTGCAGGCTAATAGGGATTTATGTACCCTCAGAGGCCTACACTCACCCTGGTGTGCTTCCTAGTCACCCTCCTGGCTGCCAGCCCACAGGAGACCAAAGCCCTGAGTGGAGGACACAACACCTGGGAAAGGAGCCTGGCAATAGGAGCAGCATGCTTTTCTGGTATTGGAACAGCCTCAAGGCAGTTGGAAGTGTCCAAACTCAAATTACTGGTTGGTTTAAAAAGCCAACTGCACACAGGCCTAAAAACCACAGCTGGAAGTTCCTTACTCCTCTGGGACAGATTCTTCTGCATCCCTCATGGAATTGCCTTGCCTTAGCCAAAAACAACCTGCCTGTAACAAACTTCTTGTTCTTTGGGGGTAAGGCCCACCATTTCTTTCATACATGTTTTACCAACACTCAGGAGCTGCATTAACAGCATGCAGTCCCTCAGCTGCTCTGGTAGACCTGTGTCTGGGCACTAGTAATCACCACTATGAAAAGAGCTCTGAGCCATTTCACTTTGGCCAGAGCTTGAGAAGAAACAGAACAGCTCTGCTGCACAGTATTCAGGGCTACCTACTTGTAAGCTTACCTCCTCCAGCTTCCATTGACTTACAGGCTATGCCAGCTTCTGTGCTGCTCCTTCAGCCAGGGGCACAGTACTGCAGTGATCAAACCTGCAGATCATTTTCTCTCGTGTTGCAGCTGTTAATTTCATTTATACTAAACAGCAGAGAATTAATACATGGTTATATGAAGACAGTTTGCTTGGGAAGACATGGAAGTGCTCCAAGCTCAGATAGCACAGCCTACTTGTAGGATAACAACAAAGGAAGTAGGAACTGCGTGCTGAGAATGAGCACAAAACCTCTAACACATGATGCTGAGCATTAGAGGGTGGAGGTAGGACTTCAACATACCATCCTTGTGCTGGCTTCTCTGGGTGGGGTGCAGGGCACCCATGGACCTACAATGAAAACTTCCATGTCTTGATACATAAAGCTTGTTCAAATCATACATACGGGTGTGGAGAGAAAGAAACAAGAACCTAAACAAGTGCTACAGATTCTAGAACTATAGCTTTCTTTAAGGCACAGTTCAACCCCTAAATCAGTTTCCTCCCTACTGTCAATCTGTGTTTAAAAACAAGCCAAGAACAAAAAAAAGCAACCAAAAGGGGGTAGGGAGGGCAATTTTGCTGCTTGGCCAAAAGCAGTCGACTGTGTTATCTCCTGATTTATGTGGAAGACTTGGAAACAGTGCCATGGAAGCCAGAAGTGAAGGTAAAACATGCAGCAGAAGACAACTTTGAACCCAGCTCCAAAGGGCACATGGAACACTGTTGACACACAAATACCATGCTGACAGTTTCACAGCTCTGTGCCTTCACCCCAGATGCCATTCCAGGGCTGAATGAGACATGAAGAGTTTCAAAGCCCGCTTTGACATTTAAAAAGGAGAGTCAGGTAACCCTTCAGTGGGCACAGTCAGGGGACAGGATTTCTTCTGATTGACCAACATGGTTGAAGTCAAGATCTCTTTTCATGGAAGCCCTGCGGGTTTTTTTAACTAAGTCAGACATTGCCATCACTCCCTCTAAAGACCTTCAGCATCGCAACCTTCCTTTGTCTTCCTCCTGCATCCATTGCATTCCCTGAAGATGTGGGTAATAGTGTAGGGTACCAAGAACTAAAGTACCTTGGTCTTAGAAGTATGAGGCTTAGACATGTTCACAAATTAACCCCAGGCTGCTGGCTCAGGATCAGTCACTCATCTGGAGAGGGGAAATCCTTGTCACAGCAGCTTCTAGAGATCTGAGAAAGCCTTGGCACAGAGCACATCAAATCTGTGCCAGGAACTCTACTCATCACCTGCACTGGCCTTTGTCCAACAGGATACCATCACATAGGAATTGCCAGTGGGCAGCCAAGTGCCTTGGTAAGCAGAAATGTTGGAGACACCAGCAAGAATACATACTTGCATCCCAAACCCAGCGTTCACCAATGAGTGAACATGCTCCACTGGGTAGTGTAGGCCTTTGATGGGCCAAGGAGACAGATAGCTGCCAGGAACGATGCAGGGCCCCTTCAGTGTGCTGCTGCCCAGCTCTGCCCACCAAGACATCTCTGCTCCTTCCCACACTGTCAGGGAAGCATGAGGCTGGAGAGTTCTGGCATGTACAGGGCGCTCCACAAACCTCACTCACTGAATGTTTGAACAGGAGCAAACAAAACTGCCAGCCCCTTGGCCTCATGCATGCAGTAGGTCAGGACAAAAGGGCGTTTGGCCATGGTTCCAGGAGTCACCATGGGTACTCCAGCAGCAGGTGCTACCTGGGCCATCCACATATACACTGCCAGGGTAGAGCCTTGTTCTGTGCCTTCTGCATACAACCTGCTGGCTTGATCACCTCCAGGAAATGAGCTCTGGAGAAGATCAGGATAGAAGTTGTGGAACGTCCGTCCTCAGTCTCATCGGTTCCTGAAGAATCAAAGCTGGGCTCAGCCCCCCCTGCACCCCTCAAGGGAGCAGAGTTAGGGGAAGTGCGCTTGGATGAAAGACAAGACATCCTCCTTGGATAGCTTCTCTGGATCTTGCCTTTTCTGAGAGTCGTGCACTTTGACACCTTCCCCCCACTCCCAAAAGAGGCGGCTGTAATGGCAGACACTGTGGGCAGAGAGGAGAGCAACATTAGTTTGGCAGGGGAGAGGAGGGAAAACACTGTATCCTGACCACAAAGTGCACTAGAGAGACAACTGCCCTAGCAATTGGAGGCACACAGAGATATTCTGCCTAAGGGTTGCCTTAGAAAAAGACCAGTGCATTCATTCAGCTTACAAAGGCTATAGTCCTTAAGGCAACTTCCAAGTCTAAGAGATTTCCATGGAAACAAACATGTTAATTCTAGCTTCAGTCCAGATTTAGTTCAGCATTTGCTGGAAGGAGACATGTCATTAGGGAAAAACCTTCCTCCTCCCCCAGCTCCGAGTTTTTGAGCAGAAACTGTCATTACAGGCAATGGAGAGGCTTTAATGAAGAATTCAGAAAGCCTGCCAGCAGCAGCAATCTAATCATTCACCACAAACCTACTAGAATCAGTAATAGTTGTCCTGTGGAGCTTTGCAAACGAACAGCACTTCACACTGTACAAAACCAGCTAGGATCATCCCCTTCTTCCCCTGGTGTGAAATCACCAGCTCCACTTGGCTGCTGACAGCTCTGGTCCTACAATGCCATCTCTCACGCCGTCCACCCCACACATCCCTCCCTCACGGCATCACCACAGTCCCAGCCATAATGAAAACAGAGCTGCTAATTACTGACAACAGAGCAGCCTTTAGTTTTGTACAACTACCGACACTTAATATTCATAGCTTATTTAGTGCCACTGTTCTAACAAAGCAGTACTAGCACAGCGACAAAAGCACATGTCAGTGGCTAATTACAGACACATTAGTACTTACTAACCACAACACCACACATCCTTTCTGGAGTCCCCTACAAGCACTCCCTCCACCTCCTCAGGTGTCCATGCTGACCTATTTCAGAATGCACAGGCAGAACACTAAGCCCATCCTGACAAGTGAATGGAAAAAGCATCCAGTGCCTCTGCTTTTTAAGCCTGTTCTTCAATTTCGATGGTTAAGGAAAGGTTAAGGATTCTTAAGAGCACTGCTGTAGGGTAAGTAAGGAGATTCAAAGTGAGAATGTCAGAAACCTTCTTTCCTATCAAGCTCAGAGGCACAGTCCTGGGTACTGGCATCTCTTGAGACCACCCGAGCACAAGGGGTGCAGAACATCTCCACCCAAGAGACCTCAAATATCACAAACTCAGAATTTGCTGTACTTAACGGCATGGGCTTAGCCTAGTACTCGACGGATACAGATGGGGTTCAGCAGCCACAATGTTAATGGCTGTCCACTGACAAGCCACTCCATCTTTTCCCAAGAAGCCACTGCTTTTCTCTCCCACACTCTCTTTAAACAGCTCCCAGCTGCCTACAGCTTATTGCACAGCCTGGGCTAAATGAAGTGGGATTTGCTCTTACATTATCAACTTCCAACCAAGCATCGTAAAATATAGACATGCAGCAAATTACAGTTACTGGGCTCAATTTCCATTTCCCCGTGTGCAGGGAGGTTCAGTAACTTGCACGCTGCTGCAGACCGGGGAGCAAAGTTGAGATGTGTGTTATTCATAGCAATTAATTGCAAACCCCACGAATCCAGATCAAGAATCATCTGAAAGTATGAGAAGGTGCCAGCTCCTGCAGCACACCCTGCTGGTGTCTAAGCTGCGCCTGCACTGCAGATGACTACAAGAACAGAGCAGAACTCCCTTCCAAATACCCAGACACACACACACACATCTGTTCTTCCATAGCCACAGCTCTGGCCTGTACTCACTGAAAGGGTGCGATGGATTCAGAAGGGAGGTTGTATGTTGTGTTCTTAGTTATCTTGTTGAAGAAGAATTTCTTCTTGGAGTTTTTGCTGTATGCCATTGTCCAGGGATCTTGCAGAAGAGTCACAGGGATCAGACAGAAAATGGCAAGATGGGAGGGAAGCACAGTATCAATACACATATAGTGCAAGCAAGGAGGAGGAATCTGTAATAACTGATTCTTTTCTTACTCCTTTCTCCTTTCCTCCCCCAAGAAGACCTGCTTTCCAAGCTGTTCTCTATTCACTGAGAAAATTCCCTTCTTCCTGCATGTAAAGTTGACATTCCAAATAGAATATTTCCATGTAGTACTACTCGGGAAAATAGCTTCTTGATGAAAAAAAAATATGATCTCATTAAAAAAAGAAAGTCATCAGTCATGTAAAGAAATGAAATCACCCAAACAATAGCTAACTGAGATGCAACAGAAAAACCTATCATATAAATACCCGAAACTTTATCATAGAATCATAGAATGGCTTGGGTTGGAAGGGACCTTAAAAGATCATCCAGTTCCAACCCCTGCTATAGGCAGGGACACCTTCCTCTAGACTGAGTTGCTCCAAGCCCTGTCCAACTTGGCCTTGAGCACTGCCAGGGATGGGGCAGCCCAGCTGCTTATTCAAATCCAACCTGCCCTCATTACATGCAGTTAATCTCTAGTCATTGGAATACTCACATTAATTTTTTTACCCAGTTACAAGAGGAGCAAGCCTGGTCAATACTTTTTACTTGAAGATACAAAGAAAAGTTAAACAAGAGCAAAGATACTCTCTTCCTACCATTCACAGTCCGTACAATGTAGAGTCCTGTGGGCACAAAGTGCCGGTCATCTCGGCCAGTGTAGGACAGCCGTGGTATTCCCCTTGAACTCTTGATGACTTTCATCTCTAACCTAAATGTTGAGAGAAGGCAGTGACAGAAATTCCCTGTTTCTTCCTTTACTATCCTCTTGCACTCAACATGCAACCTGCATGTGCATGTCCTCCCCAGAGGGTCACAGTGAAAACTGGCAGCACCGCACCTAACAGGGCAAAATCACCACATCCTGGAGAATTTGGTTTCTTGCCTCCCCCAACATGGCTAGAGAAACCAGCCAGAGCTGTCTAGATCACGTAAGAAATTAAGTGCTGCAGTGAAGGATCTGTGACCATCTACCACACTCAGTCCAAAAAGCATTCCCATTTCAGGTATGAACTCTTCATCGTTCAAGCCACAGATACTTCTGCACACAAACTCAAGTGCCATTCATACTCTTACCATTGTAAAGCCACTGGCCACATTTACAGCATTAGAACTCAGGAGGATGATGCTCTGAGCCACCGGCTGCGTGAGCTTTTAACAGCTTTCTCTAGGACTCCTCAAGCAGATTAACACATCCCTCACATTCCTGTGCACTGGTGGCTGATAACCTCAATGGGCCCTAAAGTGTCTCACTTGTGCTGCTCACCTCACAAAAATCTTCTCTATTTCCTCCAATCTGTAAACTTCCTTCACTCTGGGGAGAAAAGACAAATAACGTGATTTAAAAATATTTCAACTGTCCTCTTTTTCTGTCCCAGCTACAGGGAGCTGCCAGTTCATTTTGTACAGCAGGAGGTGGTCAGGCATGACTGAGGTCCACCCTTCTCATCAATCCAGTCCCTTACTTCTCCTGCTTGAGAAAACCCGATATGTGCATGCAGTGCATGCTCGTAAGCAGCATATGAGCCTCCTCGATGCATTTTTACTTTAGGCTGGGTATACACAAGAGGAATGACAACAAAAGTCAGGTGCTTTTGTTTTCCCATAAGGCAAATTCACCAAGGTCAGCCCCAGGCAGGTTCTGGCCTCAGCATGCTACCCTCACAGTAAAACTGAACTGCCTGATCCTCACCATCGACGTCCTCAAGGATGCCACAAACTCGTGTTTTACCCTGAGGAAAAAACAGCTTTTTGTAAAAAAATAAAAATTAGTAAAGATTATTTGGAGCCATCACTCTTACTATGTCAAACTGCTTTTGGTTTTGTTGTTCTGAGACACAAAAAGACAATCAAAAAGCTTCAAAAGCACTGCCTCTGATCTGACACCCTAACCACCTATTTCCTACATGCTGCTACAAGCATCAGGCTTCAAAAAGTAGTTTGAGCAGGAAAGGACCCCTCTACAACCCATTTCTACAGCTCTCCTTCTTACTTCACCTTCAGCCCTCCCCAGCATTTTGAGCTGCTTCTGTTACTGCAACTGTCTGTCTTGAGTTTCACTGAGATCCCACTCATTATCATTCATTGAGCCACCAAGGAGAACATCCTCTTTCCCTTCCTCCAGCTTCTCTCACAGTATCACAGCATTTCTAGCTTCTGAGACAGAAGCTGTTTTATTCACAGTAACTGTCTGATACCCAGCACAATGATGCTCTTATGCTCCACTGTAGCAGAATTAATGAAATGGAAGGTCAGGAAGCAACCAAAGCTGAAGCTCTTTGTCAGGAACTTTTATGGGATTGCAAGGAAAGCCTTCTCCTCAGGCTAAGTATTTGGAGATTGTAAATACTGGTCAGCACTTCATTTATATACTAGCAGTCAGTATTTCTGTACTGCTGCTGACCCTTCAGGGCAGACAAGGACATAGAAGTCTTTGCAATGATTAAGCTAACTGGGTGATAGACCTACTACAGCACATATTTGAAATCAGCACCAGCCAATCCACCTGTAATGAAAACAAGACTATCATATGTGAAATGAGGGCACAACTTCTCCACTATCAATCTTTATCTTAGATATTTTAAGGGCTTTCATCCTCTTTCCACTGAACGTAACTGTGAATTTCAACTTGAAATTTAACTCTCCTTCAGTTCCTTATCTTCATCCTCCAACACACCAAAACCAAAGCACACCAGGCTGAAGAAAGGAGTCCTCAACTCACCGGATGGGGTTCATATCTGGCCGACTAGGTTTAGACACAGCTTTGACAAACTTCTCTGCCAGCTGAATCCTGAATGAAAACAGAAGGAGAATCCAGGAATCTAGCAAGATCTTTGGCACAGCAGCTAGCTAACGGTTTCAGCAGAATACCTGACTGGACACTTCAGTACATGCTCCACTGCTAGCCTAATGAGTACTGAGCAACTATTTTCACCCTGTCCTCCCAGCTCAGTGCTGAGTGATACTGCCTATTATCCATTCAGAATGGGTCTCCATAGCTCCCCACTGCAAGCCCACATGCTGCTGAACACATTGGTGTATCAGCAGGAAAGCAGGACTAGTAGAGACACCATGTCCCCAAGGAAGGAAACAGAGGCTTGTTCCTTCTCCCTCACCCTGTTGTCTGCTATGCTCATTCATACTCCCCGGATGCTCAGTTTACCCAGACTGAGCCTGACGCACCCCAGACTAAGAAAGGAGCGAGACCTGCCCTCATACAGAGAAGGTACAGCTGGAAAAGGCTATAAATACTTCAACTTCAGAGCGGGTTCATTCACAGTTCATCTTTATATCAGTGTTTCAGCTGAATGCACTTGCCTCCCTGTACTCAGCATTCTGCTTCTACTGTGAACAATGTTTCTCAGTTGCTCCTACTCACATACAAGAAGCTTCTCCAAGATCCTACATACCTCTGGTTGAAATGCTGCTTTCGAACATCGCTCCCATTCAGCACCAAGACATCAAGGATGTGGATAGCACTGATTTTTCTCTGGGCTTTCCCCTGTGGAGGGCAATAGAGAAATCTACTGATCAGACTTCTGCTATTTTAGTTTTGATTTGTAGCCTATTTTTTGACAGGACATCATTCTCTTCTAGCAAGAAAACACCTTTCCTCAATACTAGAAACACACAATTCCCTGCTACCCATTATAGAGTAACACACCGTCCTCCAAGAACTGCTGTACCCCAACTACACAGTTCTGTCTCAGAGGAGAGAGAGAGGGCAGGACCACAGATGCCATCACGAGCTCTCTGTTCCTTATCAGGTACCACAGCAAGTGTGCACTGCAGCATCCTCATCTGAGATGCCAGAGGACAGGTAAAGTCCCAGGCAGCAGTGACCTATGCTGTGAATACACCATGAGAATCTTTTCCCCAAGGCAAAGACTGCAAACACTACTGAGCAGTTATGCACTCAGAGAGCCATAAACACATTACATCATGTTGGCAATGTCATCTGCTACTGCATGTACGACAACAGTAGTGCGTCCGGTCCAAAGTGTTAAGAGTTCATATCTCTAGCACTGGACAGAAAGAAGGAACTTAATCCAAAAGAGTTTCTCTAAAGATCATATACAAAAAAACCAACCTTGCACCTGGCACAGATGGAATACTTATTCTGCAGTATGTTACAGAGAATAGGTGAAACTGCTCATTGTGTTTGCAGCCGTTTGGTAAAGGAGAGAATAGACTCCTACCTCTCCTTTCAGCTCATGAACAATCTCCACAGAGAGAAGGGTATCTCGTGGCAGCTCCGTTTTCAAATCCAGCTTTGTCCAGCGGTCTGACTGGCGACCATCCCAAGTGTAGATCTGCGATTTCTGTGTGTAGAAAGCAAAGTCAGATTCAGCCAAAGCTTCATGAGGGCAGGGGTGAGAGATCTCTGAATAACTGCAGAACAGCCCTCAGAGAATCTTTTTGTCCTAGGCTGTCATAAGCAGTTTCTTTGTCAGAATTTTCAAGAAAGAACCTTAATCTCTACAACAAAGGATCAAAAACACTTGTTCTAATCTGGCAGTGACTTTTCATACCCACAGAAAAAAACAGAAATAGAACACCTTCAAAAGGACAGTGAAGATAATTAGAGACACTAGAAAGTTTACAGGTCTCTGTGTAGCCTGCAATTATAAAACCAGGGTTAATTAGTGTGAAAGGCAGTGGAGTCACAAAAAAGAACTATAAAATAACTAGTCTGAGGGACTGCTGATGGGGATCCTTTCTGGCCTTTAAGGACAGGAAAGGATGGGCTTGAAACTGCAAGGCAGAATAGCAGCACTGAAATGAACCAGCAAAACTCCCAGACTGTTCTCAGCACTTACCCCTAGCCCCAAGAGGAACTTCTGCTCGCTTCCAGAAACCATACACCGGTAATCTAACACTTGGCGAATTTTCTCCAGTGTACTGGAATTTAGAGGTGTTGGTTTGTAGCTGAAGGTATCGATGTCCATCCCCTAAAAAGCAAAGTATGGAAAAAGCAGATTAGACACAATACATCAACAAGTAGGTAAATGAAACTTCTACGTAGAACAATGATCCATAGAACTAGCTGCTTCTTCCTCTGTTCATTCCTATGGGGAAGGTTCTGTTTGTATGAAAGGACTTGGAACATGCTTCCAGGTAAAGTCTCACCTGGATCAGCTCAAAGAACTTGGACTTTGGATCTGAAGATGAAGGTGCAACACGAGCCTGATCAGGAATCTGAAAACAAATCCAAATAATTGATAAGTATTGGGCTTTTGACACATTCGTAAGAACCCTTCTGGTTCCAACACATGACAGAACATCCTGCCCCTGAATCCCATTTCTTGGAATTCCAGTTCCTAATAAGGTAATCTGTCAAATAAAAGGTCTCATGTGTTTTGCACATTTAATGTAGGCATACCAGATCTCTTGGGAAACAACAGGCAAATTCAGAAAGTTTCAGACTAAATCTTTGATTTATGCATGTTTTGGTGAAATACTGTTTCACTGAAGTCACACAATTACCCTGTGAAACTGCTTTCCAGATCTATGGCCCCACTGCATTCAAAAGCTCAGAAAACTGCAGGCTCCTCAACAAGACCTTTTGGAGAGCTCTGCTGCTTGGGAACTAGCTGCTGAGTTCACTCTGTGTGTGATGAAATATTCTGAACTGCAGCAAAGAAGCCTCCTCAGTTAAGCCATACACATAATGAATCAGAAACATCCTGTTGGCTTACATAAACAGCTTGAAATGGTCTCTGACTTTCCCACAAGACAACATACTAAACCTCTGGCTATAAAGTCCTATCTGTACTGCAGCTCCATTCTTGTTTCACCACAGCAAGACACCTTCACGACCTCCCCGCTTGGCAGCTTGCTTACCCCCCATAGCTGGAGACACTCCTTTCGGATTTCAGCCTGCCGTGGCTCCATCAGCGTCCTAGATAAAGGCAGCAGACTGTTAAGATAGTGAAACTTCCCTACTCTTGCAGCATTACATATCCCCGCCCTATAAGACATACATCTTTCAGTGTTTGGCTTGGGAATGACAAACATGCACTGTTTCTCAACCGGTTACACAAAAGAGGATGCTGTCTTCTTTTCCCACCCTTCACCCACCTCCAATGCCCATGTTCAGCTATGTTTCATGGCTTGCACTACTGATCAGCAGCTATCACTTCATCTGATGGAAGTACACTGGGCATCAAGATTTTCACAAGTTATTCATTAGTATGAACTTGTGCTAATCCCCCAAAGCTGGGTACATAGCACAACTCACAAATAGTAATGAAGGCCTGCTGAAAGCCACAGAAATAAAACAGTTTCAATGTTAGGATTGACTCCTGGCTACCAGACTCACTCAACTTTTCTACTACATATTATCTCTAAATGACACCTGAACAGGAAAGTTATGCCAGGGAAACAGCTATGCATTGCAATGGCTTTAGTTTTAGGCAAGGAATTCCCATCATCAGTTTTAGGTAATTCTAGGTATGTAACTTAGATGCTTTGAATTGCCCCTGGAAAATGAAGAGCTATGAACCACACCCAGATGGTTACTGTAGAATTGAACATACCAGCTGGAAGTTACTTCTCTGCTTACATTCCTGCTAAGAAGCAGACCCACTTACGGTAATTAGAAAATCATGCAATGCTTGGAAGCCTTCTCAACAAAGGTGATAATAGACCATCAACTTTCAGGAATCCTCCAGCCACCTACATGTTTCTGCAAATAACTCAAACTGAGCTACCCAAAAGCACTCTTTACTTCGCTGGCTCCAAAGACCAAGCCAAGTAACAGCTCAAGTCAAGAACACATTAAAGAAGGGCAAAACAATTCATTTACAGCAGGTTAATTCAGTCTTCACCAAAAGCCAGAGGAATATACTCACGTGTCTTGAACAAAGGCACGAATTTTTGCTAATGCCTTTATCTGAACTTTGCAGTGGCTGAAAGAGAGAACAAGTTTCAATCAGGAAGCAAGTTAACTGCCACCAAGATTGTTCTACTGTTCAAAACAAGGAAGAGTGTTGGGACAACAGGAGGAAACCAGTCTGATCCTTAGAACAGTGATGGATCATTACCAACCTGATTGAAAATGTCAGGAAGGCCACTGGGAAGAACTAGGCAGTAGCCTCCTTTCTTTGCTAGACAGTACTCGGGGGCCAGTCACTAACAGTATATAGCATTTTTCTCTGCATGAGGTACCTCTGCTCTGCTAAGCCTCCTAGAAGGCAAAAGCAGAGCAGTGTAGCACCATCAACAAGTACCTCCAGGAGTGCAAGAAGCTACATCTGAAAGCCGTATTGATTAACCTGCCTACAGGCAGCAGCTCTCATTGCCCACAGGCACTCACTTTTCATTGGACTGGACAATGTAATCATAGAAATCCTGGTCGCCTTTGATTACATTCAGTGGGACAACAAGGTTCACATCTACATCTGAATTACGCAGCTGGTTGAGTCTGATGTTCACCATGAAGAGATAGTCCCGCACATCATCAATTCCCAGCTTTAAGCCTTTGCATATCATGTACCTGTAGAGCAAGGAAGAGAGATCACATGGGTTCACATCTTCCACACAACTAACTTTTTAGCCACACTCCCATTATCAGGACAGTTTCCCAAATCACAGGAATTTTTTCCTCCTGGGTATCCCTACGAAGGTGCAATCTTACCTATCACAAAGTGATTATACATTTCCTATGCTCTGGAAAGACTGGGAAACTCAGCCCTATTGAAAAGCCCCACAGATCTCCCTCAAGTAGTAAATCAATTCTGCTAAACTTGACAGGTACAATGATAACACATATAGTATGTGCTAGCTTGACTGGAACCACAGCTGTTTCATGCAAAACAGTTCAACTGCTTTCTCCCCAGAAAGGTAATTTGGCCAGTATCTTCTTTACCTTGTCAAAAATCATAATTTGCTAAGCATGTGAAATGTTTCCTCCTCCAAGACAGCTGCCAACTGAGGCAGCTCACAGACCTTCCACTAGACTTACCCAAATCAATCTATCACTGTATTTAGAGGATAGGGTTTCTTTAACAGTCCCTCATGCTCAAGAATCTCACCTCTCCGAGTTGGCAGGGCGGCTTGTCACAGGTTTAAAGATACACACTCGCTCAAAGCAGCAATACAGCAGATAAATAAGTCCCACACTGAATGGAGTGAAGAGGTCAAAGGTTTTGCAGACAAAATGTCCTCCTGGGAAACAAACAAACAAAAAAAAAAAACAACAACAAAAAAAAACAAACCAGAAGAAGCACACCTATACCAGCAGATAATAAGGGAACAAGGAGATAGCAGGCACCTCAATAAGCTTGTCTTCTGCAGAACTGGTAAGACTATTTTTATACAATTAAACAGCAACTAAACCATACTCCTGAAGCGGGCCAGTGGGGCTCCATGAACCATCTTCCTCATATTTCTGCAGCACAGCAAAAAGCATTTTCCTGACCAGGATCAAATCAGTATGCATGCTCTCTCATGAGCAAATCTTCTCTCTATGCCCCCATCTTCTCCTTCCAGGCCCAAACTGTGCCCTATAGCATGGCAGCATGCTATGCAAAAGTCTCAATGGAACCTGAGCTCTAATATGTGCAACAAGAAACCTCAGGCTGGAGAAGAAAACTAACAGATGTTATCTAAATAGAATAACTTGCCATCTAGAAAGAAAAGGGTCTATGTTGCCCCTTGCCTTCAAACAAGATTCACAATTTCCCCAAGGAAAAAGCAGTCTTACAGAGCTATTATCTATCCAGACAGGAAACACTTAAAGAAGGTTGCTCCTTTTCCCACATCACATTTGAGACTACTGCCATGTAGATCATCGCCTTAGGTACTTCTAAACATAGGGCACAAGATAAATGATAACTTAATGAGCGTTTTTATCTTCTGTAGCAATGCCAAAGGCTAACTGTATTCAGCAGAAGGGAGTCATCAAAACCAGATGGAGCTGTCATGTCCATCATTCAGCAACAATAAGGTATAGCTAAGACAATGTGAGGCATCATCTTGTTCTGATCACAGAGATGGCATATTTAAAGGAGAAAAAACACAAATTAGAGGCAAGGATGAACTGGATAAACACTACACTTTGTTCCAAACAGAGAGTACTGCTAGAGTATTCAGGAAGCAGTTGGTCCAGCTAGTGCCATAAAACTCAGATATAATGTCCAGTTATCACACCAGTGACCTTAGCCCAAGTCTTCTACATAACATATTGTAAGAGCTTTAAACTAATGCATTTTACCTCATGCTTGTAATTAAAGCGTGATAGACAGATATATCTGTCCTAGTTCTCTTTGCTTTGTGACAACCATCTCAGGATGTACGCGTACACATTCAATTCTGTGCAACTAAGCCTCACTGCAGAGTGGACTTCATAGAATGTTAATATTCTTCCACAATTCCACCTACATCTTTGAGAATGAGGAAGAAGATGAATGGATAAAACATACCTGTCCGGACAATGGACAGTGCTGTAAGGAACTGGCAAAGCATGAGCTGTTTGCTCAGAATTTCTTGCAGATTCTCCTGACCCTCCACTGAGAAACCCTGCAAAGCACGTAGCATGTGATTAGTATATCCACACATCTGTCAGTCAACCAAAGGATTCTGTGCAGCTATATCACAGAATTATGGTCATTTCTGTTTCTTTCAGAGAAAAACCACTGCCACTGGGAATTTTAATGACATGCCTTGAAGAATTTCACATTGTAACTATGGACACATGTCAAATATCCTACTATATGCAGACTGAGGTAACATTTTTGGTCATTAGAGCAAGAAGAAAAAGAAATGGACCAACCCCATCAGCCATTAAGAAATGCACTCCCTTTTGATCAGTATTGTCCAAAACAAAATTCCGGAAAGCCGTAATGTTCTCTGGGCGAGTGATGTCTCCATCTCCATCAATCCCTCCCTCTCCTAAGGGAAGCAGAAGAGACAATTACTAACATGCCTGCAAGTTCTGACAAAAGATCAGTATGTGCAGGTGATCTATTGTATTCAATTAACATTTAGTCAGCCAATTACACAGACCTTGAGAGGAGAATAAGCATTAATACATTCCCTTGTTCACCACCAGAGATGCCAGTTAATTTAGGAAAATTATCCAGATTGTGTGGTCAGGGCTAGAAAAAGCCATATAACAGCCATGCTCAACTGATGAGTTGTACATCAGCCTCAGCAAAAGACAAATCATTTGCTGCCCTTCCCCGAGATAAGAACTGATGACACAACAACACAATATTCAGATCCAAGTAGGAGCAACACATAGTTGAACCTACTAAAAAAAAATATGTAAGGTCCAACCTCACTGCACAGCTCACCTGTTAATAACAGGTTTTCACTGACAAGGCAAATTATTTACATTATGTATTAGCAACATTATGCTAAGTATTCAAAGCATTCCAAAGAAACACAATACTCTATTTCCAAACACAGTGTAATCCTGAATTTTAAAACAAGCAATGCCAAAATAACCCTCTGAAAAAGTTTATAAAAGGAAATAAGGTTTGTGCATGAGTGTTTGCAGTTTTCCCATATGCTTCTTTCTAAAAAGAGATACATTGTCCTCCAGCTTGGTGTTTTAGAATGCTAGTCTAAGGTGTAGTCTAGAGCTCAAGAATGATAACTTGAAATTCTATTTTGTGTTAGTCCCTATATATCTTCTGCAACTACAGTTCTATTAACTGAACTGGAAGACTAGAAAGCTGCGGAGTTCAGGATGCATTATAATGCTCTGAAAACTAAATTCCTCATCAATCATCCTGTCAGTAAGTGAAGTGACACCAGAATATGTGACCATTCTTCACAAGTATCACAGTAGTCTACTTCCTTCCCATCATTATAAGAGTTTGTACACTTCTCACTAGATTTCAGAGTGTAACAGACAGATCAAGAAAATGCATCAAAGTCATTGGGCTATTCATTTCTCAAGGCATCTCCTTCTCTCCATAAGAACACCAGTTTGCAGTGAGTTATGAAGATCCAAATGCTGCTACTGTTAGAACAAAGTTTTTATCTGCCTTGCTGCCCTTGCCATGAACCTTCACTTGAACAGATCTAATCCTGAAGTGCTAACCATTCTCTAACAGTTCGTGGTCAGGTGTCAAAAGTGGCAGTCAAAAAGAGTCAGTGGTTGAGGGAAGCAGGGGGGACAAACCCTCTTATCTACAATACATTCACACTCTGATTTCCTTTATACAGTGTGAAGTAAGAAGCAGGAATATTAGCAATCCTTGCGTTTCCCTTCCTCTTCCTAGAGGCTATGCAGAAAGAGGGCTCAAACATATGACCATGCTTAACAAGTTACCATCCACAAGGTGAGATGCAGCAATCATCTGCATACACCTGCTTAGTCTGTCTCAGAAGTAAAACATGTTAGCTTAAACCTCTTCAGACTGAGAAGCTCACTTAGTCACAGTGATTCAGATGCAGCCTCTAGCCCAAATCTGGTTTATTTGTTTTTACTAAGAGCCCACAATCACCAAAGCAGACCAAGGGAGGTCCAATATAGAAGCATGCTGCCAGTAAGGCAAGATTTCCATCTCTGGTGCTGCTAATAGACCTTCGGGCAAGTCAGGACACTGGAGCACCTTCCCTGTGAGGACAAGCTGAGAGATTTGAGGTGGCTTATCCTAGACAGGAAGGCTCTGGGGAGACCTTACAGCAGCCTTCCAGTATTTTTTTAAGCGGGTCTACAGGGAAGGGAGGGACTCTTCATCAGGAAGTGTAGTGATAGGATGAGAGGCAAATGTGTTAAACTGAAAGATTTAGATTAGACATTAGGAAGAAACTCTTTACTATGAGGATGTTAAGCCCTGGCACAGGTTGCCCAGAGAAGCTGTGGCTGTCCCATCCTTGGCAGTGTTCAAGGCTAGGTTGGATGGGGCTTTGAGGCCCCTGGCCTGGTGGGAGCGTCCCTGCCCATGGGAAGGGGTTGGAATTAGATGGTCTTTAAGGTACCTTTCAACCCAAACCATTCTGTGATGCTATGGTAAGTCATCTCACTGTGTTCCAGGCTGGCATCAGTGAACTGGGAAAAATACTGTCAAGTAAACTTAAAGCACTTTACAATGTTCAGATAAGCAAAGCACTCAAGTACCAATTATGATAACAGGACACACATTCCCAGAGCAGACTTGAAAGAAGTGCAGAAATGTGACTTGATATGCAAGCTCACCAATCCCAAACTCTCTCGGATGACAGCCCTGTCCTACGTTGCAAAACAGTTCCCTATAAACAGGCTTCTCTTAGATCCCAGTACCAGCCCCACTCCTGATATAGAGGCTGCAGCATAAGCAAAAACATCAGGTAACACACATGCACTACATACCATAATAAGGTTCAAAGAGCTCACTGGAGGCAGAATAGAAGTCCTCTAGTTTAAAATCATTTGGTCCTTTCAAGGTCATGCCAAATCCTTTCGCATGCCACTTCCGCCTCCACAGGACATACTCCGAGAAGCCTCCAGGACCAGCACACACATCAGCAAAGTAGAGCAGCTCTGCATCTCGCTCCTTTATCAAAGGCCTCTGCAAAGGAAACTGATGAAATTCTACTGGCCCAGAAACAGCTCCCAGCAGTCAAACCAGATACACCATGAACTACACTACTCAGTCAGAGAAGTCTCTTTCAAGCACCTGTTTTCACAGCTAGTATCCTACGGATTCTCTTTTCTCCCCACCTTCCCCATTCTGAGAAAGCATTGCTATTTGAAGGTTAAATAAAGGCCCTCACCCCATGGAAGTCCTTCGGGTTCGTAAACATGTAGTCAAAGACATGGTCCATATTTGCCATCTTCATTGCAGCCCTGTGATCACATACATAAGGACCTATTGAGTTTCGACCTTGACTCCCATGGCTGAAAGTGGACATAAACAGGAAAGGGACTATGCTACTAGAAGTTTTGCAAACCTGTTCAGGAAGAAAACTCCACGGATCATCTCATACGGGTTAGACCTTGTTCGGGCTCGACGCATTTCTTCTCCATCCAGCTCATCAAATACACTCTGCGGACAGAAACAAAATTGAGCTGGACTTGACACAGGCTTGAAGGATAGGTAGGCATGAGCATTTGCTACCCTCATGCTTCTCTCCTTAAAAAGCAAACTCCATGCAGGGTTTGGTTCACCAATACAGAATGATTTTTAATATCACATGATGATACTCAGTCTTCTTCTAAGCCACCCCAGTTCTTAAGCAAATTTAGTGATACTGAAGAACTCTCTACTGATAGTTCCAGAGCCTGACAACGTGGTTAGCCGCTTCAAAAGCGGTCCTAGCCCATAAGGTATTTCTGTTGTACATATACACAGACTCACACTTCACTGCAATTTAGAAGGGCATGATAAAAATCTAGGAGAGAAGATGGAATATACAACAGAAGAAAAGGGAGTTTATTTCCTTAGCTTATTCAAGTCTTCAGCCTTTCAGTCCAACTAAGAAAAGGAGACTCTTTTCATTCATCAATTTGAAGGCCAAGGTGCAAACCAGGTTGCTGAACAGACAGTAACAGCCAAGTTCTAGGTCATACCAATGGCATGGAGGTGAAAGAGGATGTTCTAAGCTCTTGACAATCACCTAAGTAAACTACTCAATCCTTTTCAATATTTCACTTACTTCCCCAAACTTTCAGTTCACCTCTAAAGGAAGGGACTCACCTTGCACTGCAGGACATTATGTAAAAGCTCTTCACTACAGAACTCTGTCTCATCTTCAATCACCATCTTCCTCTGAAACAGGATAAGAACACAGATAACAATTAGCAAAGATATCGGAATGCATTTCAGAATATCATTTCAGAACGCAACATGTGCCAGTAATGGATAAAGGCTGCCAAACACATAATAGGCTATATTAGCAAAAGCATAGCCAGCAGGCTGAGGAACTATTCTTCCCTGTTAGGCATCCTGAGAATACATGTGGAATACTGCAGCCAGTTCAGCACACACACACCCCCAGCACAAGACATATACTGGAATAAGATCAGCAAAAGGGCCACCAGGACAACAAGGGTGCAGAAGCACCTGGTGTATGAGGAGAGACTGAGAGAACAATGTGTTCAGAATGGAGAACTGGACATCCCACTGCTGTCTACAAGTACCTAATGGCAGGAAACACAGAAGCTTGACCTAGACTCTCAGAAATGAACAGCAACAGGAAAAGAAACAATGGACACAATCTGCACATAAAAAAAGTTGCCAGTTAGCCATGCAGAAATTTTATTTCATCAACTGGGTTATCAAACACTGAAACAGATGAACAGGTTGTGAAACATCCATCCGTAGGCATACTCAAAACTCAAACAAAGCCTTGAGCAATTTGATGTAGTTGGACCTGTTTTAAGCACGAAACTGCACCAGCAATCTCCAGAGGTTCCCTCCAGTCTAGGTTGTTCGACAACTCCGTGACAAGCCAATTGTTTCAGGCTGAGCAGTCCTGTGTTGTCTTGGGCTGGTTAAGTACTGAGATGTAAAAAATTACCTTCCCCACAGTCATCCACTCCTTCAGCTCCTGGGCATCAGGGATTTCCGTGGTACACTCAAGGCACCAGTCTACCTCCTCGTAGGCACTAGGCTGCAAATGCAAGACGTGGGAAGAGCCAAAGATGTTTTTGCTAGCAAAATATAACAACTAATTGCTCCCTGAAGGTTTGCCTCCCAAACCTAGCATAAAGTGTTACGCCATGACTTTGGGGCCAAACATACAGTTCTTTTTCTCCTACTCTAAAATATTGTATGTTTGGATTTAATTTTTTTTAAACTAAATAAAACTCAAACACAAACCGCCCCACACCACTCTCCTCTCATTAGAGTCTGATAATCAAACAAATCAAAAGCCTAGAGAAGGTTCCTAAGGTGCATTTTAGAGACACTGCAAAAGAGAGTTACAAAAAAATATGGGCTTAAAACACTTCTATGATGTCAGAAAGGATTTTTTTTTTGCAGTTAAAATTGAAGTGATGCTACTTCTCTACAAAGAGAGGCTGCTAAGATCTACTGACCTTATATTTATTACAGTAGTATCATCCACAAGGGTTAATCATATAGAACAGTTAATTGCTGTGAGGTGCAGAAACACACTGGAGAATGAGACCTAAACCAACGAGCCTACAGAACAGGTCTCAAATTCCTGGCTCTCAAGGAATAATCTCCGATATTCTTTTCAACTACTGAAAAGAATTCAAAGAATGGAGAGTGAAGTACTATAACAAGCACCATATACGACTGGACAAGTGATGCTGCCCTTGACTAACAATGGCTAGGACCTTCTAGGTTACTGTCCTTCCACTCCTTAAAGGGGGACTACAAGAAATTTGGAGAGGGACTTTATACAAGGGGGAATGGTTTTAAACTGAAAGAGGGACATTTAGATTAGATATTAGGAAGAAATTCTTCACTGTAAGGATGGTGAGGCACTGGCACAGGTTGCCCAGAGAATCTACAGCTGCCCCATCCCTGGCAGTGTTCAAGGCCAGGTTGGACGGGGCTTGGAGCAACCTGGTATAGTGGAAGGTGTCCCTGCCCATAGCAGGCGGGTTGTAACTGAAGGAGCTTTAAGGTCCCTTCCAATCCAGACCATTCTATGATTCTGTGATTTCTATTTCCCAGTGTTCTTTCCTGTTAGAAGCTTGACAGGACACAGAAATAAAACATCTGAACATTTTATTTGGGACTATTAAACAGAAATAATTCTTTTTTAAGTCACCTACACAGACATGAAAAATGATATACAAATAAAAATTAGATTTGCTTTCAAGCTCTTTAGGGTTTACCCATCACATTCACTACTCCACACTCAGACACAAATCCTACAGACCCCAGCAACAATCTACCTGAAACTAGTTTTGTGCCAGAACTTTAACACATGATACAGAACAAGTTTTGCCATGCTGTTCTGGGACAAAATAAGGCCCGAGTGTACCCATAGGAGCCACTTAATGGTAGCCAGTTGTACCAGACAACACTGAACATCATCCCTAAAGGGGAAATCCTGAACACAGCAACAGAAATGGGATTCAAAATACTACATACTTACCTCTGGCTCATCCTGCCAATCAATATTGAGCTCCCCATCAAATCCTTTGAGGGTCAGCCCAAAGCCTCTCCTTCCCTTCTGGTTGGAGGCCTCAACAATATCCTTCCTGCCTTGGCCATATTTTCCCAGACCTTCTCCTTCCCGGAAGCCCATCTTGGCCTGTAAAGAAAGCAAAGGGAGCACACTCAGGCAAGTGCACTTGAGTTTATGTACTAGTACTGGGGTCAAAACATAGCAGGGAAAGTGGCATATCACCCTAAAATGACTTGAAGGCATTGAGCATTTTTAATCTCAGTTGTGGTTTTAGAACTTGATATTGAGTTAACTTCACTTTCACACAAGAAAACTAGAGCTGAAGAATAATGTTTGAGATGACAGCAAACTACAAAAGGTTCAATAATTTGCTTGCTCAGAGGGAGAAGTAGTGAGGAGCCTGGAGCCATTCACAACAGTGTTCAATAAGCGCAGAAGGTTTATAAAACAGAAGACGCTGGTACACGAAAAGATTCATGTTGTGATGATATTCTTGGTTGCGAACGTGCAGGCACATACATTTCAAGCATCAGTTAAAACTTCACCTAAAACTCATGGAGGAATGCAAGATACATTCCTATCTGTTAGGTTAAAAGAAGTATGTTCATTAACTGCTAGTTTCTCAGGCTTTTCTCCTCATAAATTTTAGCAACAAGAGAACAACAAAAGCATGAATGCAATCAATTTCACTCCCTCTACTATGCATCTACAAGACAATAAGTAAATAAAAGACTTAATCCCCAAGTTCCACCTTGAATTAATGTTATTCATATAGCCCTTCCTGTTAGAAGCAACAAAATCATTGTTTATTACCAGTCTGTATGACAAGCCACACAAGAACATCTGATAGGGTTTATACAAAGGTACATGGTGTTTTTCCATTCCCTTTTCTGTCTGGATCTAAATCGGACCTTGAAGTATGTACACCAAATGTAACAGCCGCCTAGCCTGTTATACACTGGTTTTCTGAGGACAGAATACTGCACATCTAGTAATCAAGGACTGTTTTCTTTTTATGTACCTAATGCTACCACATCATTCAACCAGACTTGATATCACATCAATCTTTACATTCACATTTATGAGGCCTTACAAACAAAAGCCTCCTGAACCCAGTAGCAAAAGCTCCTGCATGGTGGCGACTGAAAGGATACATCCTGACTGGCTCAGAGAGAACTTTCCAAGTGAAAGATAGTCTTCTGCTAGAATCAGCACACTGTAGCCCAGTGCCAAAATTGCACATGGACAGATTCTGAAAGATCTGCAACAGGACTGATCTGCAGAGGCACAATCAGCAACTCTCAGGCTCTGGATCCCATTGAGTTTTGATCTGAGCAAGAAAGTTCTTTTTTCATGTAGAGGTATAATCCTGCTGGTCAGCAGCATTCCACTCCTTCAGAGGCAGTATCTCTCTGTTCCCACTCCTAGCAACAGCTAGCACTTCCCAGCTTCTAGCAGAAGACTGAACTTCTAACTTGGCAAAGGCAGGTACAAGTAGGCCTACCATCTTGGAAAGATGGCTGACCCCTGCTCCTGTGAGTATGGCACCAGCACAGAACAAAGAGAGACCCAAATTCAGTCCCCAGTCAAGTGTCAAGCCTCCTGTTTATTTCACGTAATACACAACTATACATGTCATCTTCTCTGCTGCCCTTAGAAATAACATTTTTGTTTCTGTTATCAAGAACAGAAATTCTTTCAGGATTACAAGATACTTGTGATACCACAGTGACAAAGTTTATATCAGGAAATAACTGTAACAGCATGTGCTGAAAAAGACTCCTCTTTTTTACAGCCTACTATTGCCTTTAAACTCAGGAACGAGTTGCTAAATTTGGGACTACCATGACCATTTTCTTAGAACTTCCTAGAAGTTCTTTATTCCCCATACTAACAATGTGCAGTCCAAGTGATCACCTTTAAAGTTCAGTTGTCACAGCTGCCATTGTTCACAATTCCCTGCCTTTCCACAGAATTTCTGGCCTTACATAAAGCAGAGTAGCAATACTTGGAATACCATAATAATTAAGGTAGCAATTCTACAAGTGTATGCCAGCCAGCCTCCAAGACCAAACAAATTAATGTCAATCACAGACTTTGTTAAGGCCTTTCTCACAAGGCATTTGCCAATGCAAGCATTGCAAAATAACATGGTAGGACTCTTTTTTTCCAAGTTCAGCAAGCTGCCTGACACAGAGGTCCTTCCCTTCACATTCACCGTTCTGCTCCCAGGCCTTGGATATGAATCAACTATTTTTTAGCAGATCCCCTTCAGGCAAGCTCTCCCAGACTCCCCTAGCTGCTCAGCAGCTGGCACAAAGCAGCAGAGAACCCTGATACAAGGAGGATCAAAATCAGAATCAAAAATCTTTTAAAACAGACTGTTCTTTTCACTTTGCTCTCATCACATCCTAAGAGTTTGGTCCAAATTATTTTGACCTACCATGAGCTTTTGGGAGACACTGTTATACATTGAGTAGCGAGATGAAGTACCCTCCACAAGAGAGTCTTGTTTGAACTCATTGCTGAAGACTGGTCTTTTTTCATCGTTCTCACTCTCAGACCCACTGCTGCTACTGGAAGACTCTGAAAACAAACATATAAAAAAAAAAGTGAGAAAAGAGAGTATAAAAATGGAAGACATTTCATTAAACACATTAAGAACTATACAGTGTGACTCATTAAATCCTCTCGAAACACACATAGAGAGGACACTTCAGTATGTCAAATGTGCTATGTAGAACCAACACCTGGTTATCTGCCCCTCTGTCTCAGGCACGCACAAAACCTCCGTGGGCCAATAGATGCCAGACCCCCTTACAGCAGAAGAGCAGCCCACAGCATCACCATGATAGCCCACTGCAGCGTGCCTTACCTTTGCAGTGGCCTTGAGGAGTTGAGAAAGTCCACAGAGATCCTCTCCCAAGAATAATGACACTTACTGACACCTTGACAAAACACACTGGATTTTCCTACCTAACAACAGGTGTAAACATATCCCTAACTTAACCAAAATTCCACATCAAGTACACAGCATCTACCAAATGGCCAATACTGCAGGAAGAAGAGTTGAATCCTTTAGTCCCCATATTAAACTTCAGTTTGACTCCACTACATACCTCAGTAGCAAAGATCCCCAAGTTCACTACAGTAAACAAGACAGTTTTTCACCTCTAGAGTTTCCTGATGCATACAAACCCAAGTGAAAGACAACATTAGAAGACACCCATGTAGTTTAAAAATACCATGACAGAGACAAAGGTTTGAGAAAGAAGTTAATTAAGCCAATGGTCCAATCAAGGTAAAAAGTACCACCACACACAGCAGGCACTCAAAATAAGCTTTTGTCACCTGAAACTGATGCAGCAAAGAAAGCCTTCATGGGCAATGCACAACGAAGCTCTGCCTGTACCCAATTCCATCTTGATTTTCAAACGGCTGTCACACAAGCTACATTTCTCTTTCCTTCACAAAGGTTTTCAAAATCAACAGGATCACAAAGGTTTTTGCTTTAGGGTCAGTTTCTGCTTCTCCAATACATGGTTTCAACTAACTTTGCTGCCTGCTTTTGAGCTGTGTCTTATCTTCCAGAGGCTGATGATGTGCCTCAAACACAACACCCACTACATATATCACAATTCTCCTTGCTTTTAACATTAGCTAGACCATGCCAAGCTGAGATCAGACTTTAAATCACTTCTCTAACCCAACCTTCTTGCATTCATCAGAAACTACAATGGGTGTAACAGAGTGCTAAACAATTAACCCTATCTAAAATGTTGTCCTTGAACTGTATCAACTTGTTTCTTAAACATTAAGGCTCACAGACTTTGACCCACATATGAACTCAGTAATCAAAAGGGTGAAAAAGAAAAAATATTGGTTTGAATTTTTTAGCTCAGCCCTGAGTTCACACAGCATTCCTTACCCTAAGCTCTCACACCCCACACCTCTGACCTCCTCACTCACCTCCAGCCTTGATAGAGCGCCATACACACCCTGTCACTATGACTATTCCCAAACTTATCTTCCATACACATCCCCTTTCATTTTCATAAGATGAAGGCTTCTTTATATCTTCAGGCCCTTTCTCACTAATACTTTATGACCATCGGAAATTCCAAGACTCAGAAGTAGCAGATATGACCATGAGACAACCTGAAGTACCATCCTGAGAGAGTTTAAAGCACTCTGCAACAGCAACACCAACTGTGTAGGTTACTTGCCCCATCTTTGGCATACCCCAAGCTTCAGGTGAGAAAGCACACTCCAACTTAAGTAAATGAATTGCCTACTTTTTTCTTTCTGAGACCAAACACCTGTGAGCTCTCACAATTCCCACCCCAAACCACGCTGAGCCAGTAAAAGCAATGGTGCTACAATGCAGGAGTTCCAGTCAACCCGCCCTTTGTATTCATCTCAATGTATCACATTTCTGCAGATGGGGAACATTACTAAATTTTTATTTTTTAAACAATGAGAGATTATTATGTTTCTTTATGGCACAACACCCACAGCTCCTCATTACTAAAGCTTCCAAAACAGAAATAACTGCTGGGACTGAAGACACTAATGCTGCTCATGTATTATAAGAACTTTTACTGCTTTGGACCATACACTGTCACCTTCCTAATATTCTATTTTCTATTTCTGAATTCATGCAGTTTCCAGACCAAACTGTTTACATGAGGGTTGTTGTGGTTTGGTGTTTTTTTTTAAAAAAAAAGCTTATTAAAAAAAATAAATAAAAAAAAATCACACCAATCCAAGGTTGTAAACAGTAATCTAGTTGTAATCTAGTTTTCCTCTGAAGAAAGTATGCCCCTGAAGGCTATCAGTTAGGATTTAGGAGACATTGGTTCAATTCCTACTTATTATTTAGATTACCAGCAGCAGAATATACCTTATCTCCAGCCTTACCTTGAGTAGTATGATTACTACATTGAGTTTCATCATCTGAAGTAGAACTGAGAGTTAATCCCAAGTCTTCTATCTTCTTCTGCTTCTTTTGGGGGCTGCTAAATTCAGGTTCTGTCCTTCTCTTCATTTTTGCTGAAAGAAGATAAACACACTTGGTAAACATTAAGCATATTAACTTTCTCCTGCATGCTGAAGGATAATGCATAGCATGGTGGCATAGATCGTTTCATGGACTTTTCAGTATCATGCTTCTCAGCTGTAGTTTCCTTTATGTAAAGGTATTGGGTTCTTTTGAACTTACCCTTTTTAATTGCTAGCCTCAACTAAACAAACAGGAAATCTATGCAGAAGCTTCTCTATTATTGATGACTTGAATTTCAAATAATTTCTACCACCTACTTACCATTAAATGCTAGCAGATGACGATAACTCAGATGTCAGCACTTTGATAACTGAAATATATGATAGTTGGTTTCTAGCAATAAATCAAAAAATTTTATCCAACCACACACATGCAAAGAGGAAATAAAGTCAATCTAATGGAGAATGTGCAAAGTGGAACCAGTTTCTCAGAAGAGACTCAGAACACCCCTGAGCCCACCTCTGCAAATGTTAATTAATAAAAGAACTTGCAGTGTGCCCAGAAAGCCAACCATATGCTGGGCTGCATCAAAAGGAACATGTCCAGCAGGTTGAGAGAAGTTTCTGCCCCTCTACTCTGCTCACTTGAGACCCCATCTGCAGTCCTGCATTCAGCTCTGGAGCCCCAACACAAGAGGGACATGGACCTTCTCAAACAAGTCCAGGGTAGGGCTGCAAGGATGATCTGGGGCTGGAGCACCTCAGCTATGGAGACAGGCTGAGAGAGTTGGGCTTGTTTAGCCTGAAGAACAAAAGGCTCCAGGGAGACCTCATGACAGTCTTTCAGTATCTAAAGGGGACCTACAAGAAAATTGGAGAGGAACTTTTTACAAAGGCATGTAGTGATAGGATAAGAGGGAACTGCTTTAAACTGGAAGAGAGTAGATTTAGACTGGATATTAGGAAGACATTCTACCCATGAGGGTGGTGAGGCACTGGCACAGGTTGCCCAAAGAAACCCCATCCCTGGCAGTGTTCAGGGCCAGGCTGGACGGGGCTTGGAGCAACCTGATCTAGCGAAAGGTGTCCCTTCCTGTACAGGCAGGTTGGAACTGGATGAGCTTTAAGGTCCCTTCCAACCCAAACCATTCTGTGAACTTTCCTACAGTAACTTCTAACAGAATTCTACTAAATACATATTAAATTCTATTAATTATGTATTAAATACAAGGGGGGGGGGGGGGGTGTGTGTTTGTATTTTGACCAGGAATCACTGGCAAGATATCAAGCTTCTGGCTGCAGCTGATAAACTGTATAAACTCACAGAAAGGATTAGCACTCAAGACAGAGTTAACAGAAGTTAGCTGAGAAGGCCTGCAGAGGACAAGAAACAAGGAACAGGAAAGCAGGTGAAAATTAAAAGGCGCACATGCTTAGAACACTGGCTAAACCTCCCTGGTATCAATAAAAAGCAGTAAAATCCTACTGATGTTTATTTTTCTACATAGAAATGCTGGGCTAGAAGAGACACCCCAGATGGCTGATTTTTTATACCTCTGTTATCAAAACTTTTTTTCCAAAAACACAGGGCAGCTTAAAACCAGCTCCTCTATTTACTCCCAGAACTCCAACTGCGAAATCATCCCACTGCGGCCAAGAAACCTTTTCCCTTTCACCAACAGATCTTCTACATCAGTTCACACTCCCTTGCTCTTATGCCAATTTAGAGGCTTGGGTTGGTTTGGCTTTTTTCCTTACTTATCTGTAACAAACTGGGAGCCACTTCCTGTTTCTCCCGAGAGCCCCTCTGACGAGGCGACCGCACTACGGGCTCACACTGCTCCTAGCCACCTCTAGGCATATCTACCCCCTGGCCTTACCAAGGCTCCCTTATGGCACGATTTCCCGCTACATTTCAAGCCACGCGAAACCACCTGCCCGGTGACCGACACCCGCTCCCTCCGCACGCACGCAGCCGGGAGGGACGCTCATGCCCCGGACACCACCTGCAGCGGTTCCGCTGCTCTGAGCCCGCCCCTCAGCCAGCCCCCACTCGCGCCGCACCAGCCGCCCCACAGCTCCGGGACACGGGGTCCCGCAGCCCGCCAGTACCGGAGCCGAGCCGCGGTCACCTAGGCCGAGGGCAGGCTGCACACTGCTGGTGCGGGGCACTCACGGAGGCAGAAGAGGCGGCGACCCCGTCCCCCGCGGTCCGGGCGGCCTGTCCCTGTCGCTCTCCGTGTCCCCGTCCCTTCCCGACCACAGCCAGTTTCTATTCCCCGTGTGGAGACGCCGCTGAGCACCGCCCCCTTCCCCGGCGGGTCCTCCCCGAATCGGCGGCGCGCGACAGTGACGCACAGTGCGCGCCCTCACCGAAAGGGGTGGGCCCGGCCCCGCAGGCGCACAGCGGGCACCTCAAACCCTCTGCAAGGACCCCTGGGATCGCCGCGGCATGGCGGCCTGCCCGGGTCACCCGCTCTGCCCCGTCCATAGGCAGGGCCGGGCCGGGCCGGGCCGTGTGGGAGAGCGGGTAGCCGGAGGCATCGGTCATTCCCGTTGGAGGCGAGGTAGTGGTGAAAGATATTGGAGTTCTATGTGAAATAATACACAGTTACAAAATCTACATATAAAAATGTATTGAAAGCGTGTCAAGGCCCATGTAATTCAGGCACTGACTGAAAAGGAACGCTTTCTGCGAAAAACAGGGGTTTGGTTCTAGGCTTCTGAAGGAGACTTGCCTAACCAGCACCATAGCAGTGACTTCAGGCAGCACGCCCCGAGCCCAGCCATGGCCGCTGCCCTTCCCTGCCCGCTGGAAACGGCATTAGTCCCACACGCAGCGCAAGTTTCCGAAGAAATTGCCTGCATAGAGCCTGCTTGGCACCAGGTGCTTCATTAACTAACCACATCTCCGTTACTTAAGCAGGGCCAGAACAAGTTTTGTAAGCAAGTGACAGCAAAGCTTTTCATGCAGTAAAAGCTTAATACATGGCTACAGATCGCTTGCCATGTGAATTCCAATCACTGATTGAGCTGTCTTGTACTTCTCATTAAGCTTGAAACCCAGGGCCATACAGCTCAGTACACAAGCATGAATGCTTAAGCTTAAAATACAAAACAAACTCAGCACATAGGAATAGGAGTATACTATTTAGGAAGTGTAGTTTATGATTATCTAGTTGCTCTAAGATATGTATGTCTAAATATGTGACATTATGGCAAAAAAAAACAAAGAGCAAGAGGGAAGACTATGAGCACGAGGCAAAACACTGACTAGTCAGAGCATAGTTTTGGAAAGACAAACTGGGGCGGGGGGAGCACAGCTGGATTGTTAGATTACCTATTACATGTTTTGCAAAGTTAACTGACAGTGTTGCTAAGGCTCACCATGCACTGTTGTGGTAGATTACATGTGCAAGAGAAAAGTGACTGTCAGACTGATCTGTACGCCATCTGCTGTGATGGTCCTGTCCAGCAGTCCATTAGCACTCCTTCCCATCTATTCCTGCTGATGTTGATGAACAGTATGCTGCTCTGGAAGTGTTTGATTATCACACTACATGAAAGCTATCTTCCACCTGAAAGCAGCAAGTTATGAACTTGCATCAACCTTGCTGTGCATCAACTGTGACGAGCTCAGTTGTAACCTGAATCCCAGATGCAAGACTGGAAGTGCTTCATGCCATCCCAAGATAGGCAACAGTCCAGGGCATGACATCTCTAAGGGGACATTCAGATACACAATCAAGAAAAGATACAGACCTTAGACCAAAGGAGAGCACAGTATTAGAGATACAGACATCTTTTGCAGAAGCTACATAGGTTGCTGTACACTTCTGTATGTCTAGTCATCAGCTCTGTATCTGACAGCAGTGAGCTGGGAGGACAGGTCTGCTTTTGCAAGTCAACAGTAGGCTTACTTAACCTCTCCTTGTGGACCTTTATGTACTATGCACCTACTGGTAACAGTGGAAATGGTTTGGTATACCACTTACATCCTTCATACTCTAGTAAAAGAGGACGCGCTCAGAAATCACATCAAAGAACTAACGTGTTACTAAGAGAACCACTAGCCTTCTCTGCAATATGCATAAACATCAGTATAACAAAATAAATGTATTTAGCAAAATAAACTGAGCAAAAATAGCACAGCAGCATGGAAGAGATACACAGAAGAACCTGCAGTACTAGAGTATTTTCATCCTACTCCTCTCCACCAGGAATGCCTGTTCCAATGTCAGCCTATTTCACAAGTATTTTGAGGAATCTCCTCTCAGATATCCTAGAGAGCATATATTCTCAAAAGAAACTTTCATCAGCTTATAAAAAATGAACATGGGAAAGAGGAAAACTCAAGATATGATAATGACTCTTCACAAAAGAAACATTCCACTACGAATTTAAGGAAGCTGCCTGGTCCACAGATCAGACCTATCTCCTATTTAAGTTCTACTAATCAAACCTGTCAGAACACATTACTTCCTTGGGACAGCATCATCATCATACAACTTTTTAATGAGATCTTTCTTTACTGGAAGAAGAGAAGAGGTATGATTGTATCTGCTAAATTATCATTAGGGTAGCCACAGGCTTGAAGAGTTGGGTTGTCTTTCATCAAATCCTGAATACACAAGTCTTTCAAATAACTTTAAAAAAAAGTCATACTACTTACAGCAGTCAAAACATGAAGCATAGTCATTAAAATGAGATTTTCAAAACATGAAGCATAGTCATTAAAATGAGATTTTTCTTTTTTTTTTTCTTTTTTTTTTTGAGAAAACACAGACTAAGACTACTGGGAGAAAGACATTCACTTCAGTAGCTGCACCAAGAAAGACTAATGCAGAAATGAATTTGTATTTTCCTTCCTAATGTTAAATAAACACAGAAAGTACATACAAATAGCCAAAGACATATTACAGATGAAAAGGGTTTCCCCCATCCTCTTTTCACAGTGTAAAACAGTCCTTTCCATGTAACAGCTAAATCTAAAGCATATGCCACTGAAAATGGAATTCCATGGACGAATTCATGATAGGATGAGGCAAGACTTGTTCAGTTTCTGAGTGATTTGCTGTGAGGGTAGTAAAACCCACAGCTCAACAGCAATGTTTTGTAAACAATATAACTAAATACTTCCTTCTGTGCCACATGGTTACCTACAGAAGCTGCTTTCCTAGCCTGCCAATAGGACATTTCACTAATTCAGATAGCAGCACCTGTGAAGAGACAAAGGTTCCTCTCTGCTGCTGACCAGAACTGTGTTTCTGAAGTCACTGTTAACTTCTGGATGTGCTGCCTCTCAATTCTAAAACCCTTTATGCAAAAAGCCTGAAGGGGGAACAAACCAAAGATACTATATAGGAAAAGCACTAGCTAAGGAATTCTGGAAGATTTAGTCTTCTCCATCCTACCTTAACAGGAAATGGGTAATGCCAATAGAGCAAACTGATGGCCAGCAGCTCAGCTTACAATGCATTTAAGCACTTAAGGCTGACAAGGTCCACAAGCCATCCTTGATTACTGGCAGAGGCCTGGGATGATTCTAGCTGTCAGATGAAATTCAAGAGGAAAACCCACATTGGCACTTTTTCCTGCTACACCTCTCCTGCCTGCTGGTAGAGATGGTCAGGTTCTCAAACAGAGCCATTCCCTCTGCTACCTGAAATAAGGGAAGTTGTTGTATGCATTTAAACATGTCGTTCACTAAGGAAAGGGCAGGGATGCATATACAAACTATTACATTACACTGAGCAGGTCACAAGCAATCGTGGAACCCGAAGTTTTGTATGTCATCTAGCCTAATGGCAGTTTGATCTCTCACAATCCCAATTTTGTTCTAGAGACCAAGCTCCTGTACATTCATTTAAAAAATAAGGTCCTTCTTCCAAATGCTGATAGTTCTCAGCTCCAGCCTCTTCACAGTCTCTCCTTCCAGATGTCCAGTCCACTCAACCAGTAGTCAGTCAAACATCACTAGGTTGGTTCTGGGCAGCACACACGCAAATGAGTCTGCAGTAAGAGTGTTTAGATAATGTAGTAGCTTTCATTATAGTAATAATCCTCTTCAGAGTCCTCATGGTCACAGCTGCTCATTGACAAGATGGAGTAGATGGGAGGAGTGACACTGCTGTCATTGCCTGTGGCTGTCTTCACCACCGCATTCTGTTTCTCTGCATTCAAAACACAC